ATAATATCCTTGTACAAATTGAATTAAACTTAAAGAAGAAAAATAACAAGACTAAATGTGTAAGATATGGCAGCTAGAAAACAGGTATGTTATACTCATTATTAAGATAGGTTTGTTACTGTTAATGTCTGGCGCTATTTCTGCCTAGATATTCAAAGTGAGAATATTATAAAAACTCAACCCTAACATTGCTCAATGGAGTGAGTAATATTTTATTGTTTATTTTTTACACTAGATCGTCTAGAAACCTCGTGTTCTGCTGATGCATGATCATTATCCCCACGGCAGTATACCTTCAAAGAACCAATAACTGTGATGATGATATACTTTTTTTGTGTTCCTAATCTGCTTACCGCAAGAAATGAACGTGTCTTAGTTTACAAGTCATTGTGTATTGACAAAAATCCGCTATTCTTTATCACGTATGTTACCGACGTCAGTAATAATCGCAAAACAATAGTAATTTTGAACTTTGCACGAATAATATTGAATACTTCCTTTAAAAGTCAATGTCTTTGGTGACGGATTTTCACAATTATCGTTCTCAATAATATCACTTGGTTGTTTTAATATTTGTGTTAACACATTTGAAGGCTCGTCTCTTTTTTTCTAGCATCAGGAAGTATTTGTTTTTAGTTTTACGTTACTTGACGTTTGTTATTCTTCGGTGAGATGTTAGCTTGAAGCTAGAAAATAGTGTGACCAGTATATGTGGCATTTTTTAGCCGATGAAGTCTGTTGCTAACTTCGATTTAACTGTTGAGATTTTGAAATAGCTGTGCAACTTAATCCAACCTTTAGTCATAGTAACAATAATAATAAATAATAAATACACTTTATTGTACACCAAAAGAGTTGACATGCATAGTACAAAATGAGTGAATCCAAAGTACTGGGTACAAAGGCGGCCTCTTTGTACCCAATACTTTGGATTAACTCATGGATTAAAACACAAGGATTGAGTTAATACTTGTGTTTTAATCAATTTCTTCACAAAGCTTACATTAAATCGTGTGCCATATGAGTCATAAGAGACAGGATTTTTTAAATTGTGAGAACTATTCATTGGCCTAGATAGAAATATTCGCGGATCATCATGTCCTGAACGACTCATGTCATATTACGCAAAGCCCTGTTCCCGCAAAGGTAACATTAAAAACCGTGACTCGTATTGGTGACTAAGGAATTGAATTACGAATTTATTAATCGTGGTAGACGTAGTACAGACATCATTGAAGACGTGATAATAGCATCATTCTTTGAAGAATGTACAATGGGTAAGACCCACATTCAGAGGTAACAGGTAGGGCCTGTCGAATTTTTCTTCCTTCTCCTCATCGACTACGTGCAATGAAGAACGTTCTACGGACGTAATAGCTCTTTTGTATTCATTATTTTATTCACCATGGACTTACCAAATGATTTTCCTTTCCGTATTTAGCTGCGACATTTTTAAAAAAGGAACGTTATGACGTTTGTCCAAAATTAATCAATATCGTCTTTTTTTATGTAATAGGTCGGTTAACGAGCAGACGGATAACCTGATGGTAAGCAATCAGCGCCGCCCATGGACACTCGCAACGGAGGAGTTACGAGTGCGTTGCCGACCTTTTAGGGATTGGGGATTTGGAGATTTAGGGATTGAGGAGGGATTGGGGGAGGGGAAGGATTGGGCCTCCGGTAACCTCACTCACACGGCGAAACAACGCCACGTCTTACGTCTCATTTGTGAAATTTGTCGTGAGATAGTGTTTTTGTAATGTTTTTTTTTTTGTTATTGTAGTAATGAAATTGCATTTGACGTAAACTGCAGTAGAATTGCAATAGTTTTCAGTTTTTAATTAAATTCTGCTGCAGTTGCTGTTGTATTGTTGATGACAAATCGCGAAAATATGACGTACAAATAATAAGTTGCGTAAATACGTTTGCATAATTTCGTTATGAATTTTTCGAAAATAACGACTTACTCACATGAACTCGCTGAAAAGAGCTCTACTAGTTTCTAGGTGGAACTAATTTTGAACTAAATGGTGCCTTTCTCAGTTAATTCATGTGAGTAACTAGTTATTTTCAATTAAATTAACATTCACGATAGTTACTACTTGAAAATAGGTTAGAAATATCTTGAAATATTAATATATAACTTCTTCACTTTTTAGAAACTTCATTCATCTATTGAGAGCATTAATTTTCATACTTTTTTTCATGCGTGCATACATAAACCATCAAAGGAGTTTAAACTTAATGTATGTTTCTTAATACTGGTATCTACTTTAATTTCAAGACCTACTTAAAAATGTCAGTAGAAGTTCACAATCGCAGTAGACAATTCTGGAATATTGCATCCAACAAGTTCATAAGTAGCGGTTCCACATAAGAATCCGAAGAAGCCGTAATTTTAACAATCCTTTTTATTACCACCAAGTAGATTCATCCTCAATAAAGACCTTAAGTGATGTGAGCATCATCAGATATACCCCGATGGCGCATACCACTTCAGAGGAACAAATAAAATTAATTGTTTTTGATTACTTACTAGAATTTTCTTCTGTCATCTTCAGAAAATAAGCTTTAGTTAAGATACTGTTTTGGATATATTCTGTGACAAGTTTAAAAAAAAAACTAATAAAAGATCTGGATGGAACTAGAAAATCGATTCTGCAAAGGTCGAAAAACCAGTCTCGGGTCGCCATATTTTATGATAGTTGTGATTTAGATTCACAGGTCCAAATTCAAAATCCTGAGCTCGGCGAAGTAGTAGATTAATACGAAACATTTGAAGCTCAATGTTTTGAAATTTCTTACGAACAATGTACTGATACTCACCCAAAAAAATAATGTACATTTTAATTGGTGCGTTGAACCTAATTTATGCAAAGTTCGTGCGTCACAATAACATTAGGGACTTGAAGAAGTTAGTCAAAAATATACATATACATACATACATTGTATACTTTTTAGAATAATTCAATGAAAAATTGAATTTCCGTAAAACGGCGAATTTGATCGACGTATATATACATTGACGTCAGAGTATGGTCTCTGCGGTGTGTACGGCCCTCTGTGAGTCAGTGGATTGATAAATAGTTTATATTGGCGAAGTTGCGGCATGCCCGTTCAGTGTGTTTCGCGCCGTTGCAAAGACACAACTTGGCTGTTATCCTTGCGCAAGAGACGTGTTGTTTTAGGCTTTCGATTTTTGTGAAGTGATCGTGTAACTGATAAATAAATAAACAATGTATTCCGCTAATATTTGTGTTACCATTGAAGATTTTATGGATGTTGTCTTCTGTGCCTATGTGCACAGTCATAAAAAGGTATATTTTGGATAAACATTAACTTTTTAAAATGGTTTCGGTTATCGTTTATAATGCAACAATTGCAGGGATATAATAATAAGCCTGTGTTTTTTTCCTCATGACATAGTTAGTAACAGATTATTTATTATTATTTATTAGCAGCTATAATTTTAAAGAGTGGCTAAATTATTGTTCATATTAAATGAATACAAATAACTAATGTCATTTCCAATTCAAATAAATATCATACATTTTATATATTTTTTTATCAAAATGATTTTATTTAAACAGCCAATGAACTGATTATATTAATTCTAATAATTATGTCAACGAAGATCATGTTGTTGTTTACGTAATACTTAGAATGTCAACGTACTAAATAACTTAGGAGAGAGCGCCATTATTCTCATTGACATTTGCATAAACCTTCAAACATTACATCATTTTAAGTAAGATTCTAAAACAAATGAAGATAAGGTTGACATTTTCGATTTCATTTTCAACCCTTTATGAGTTATCAGCTTTATTTACATTTTTTGGAATCGTCCAATGACTTCTCCTGCCATGTGTGTGGCGAAAAGGGGTATCAGACTCTCTTACCCGTTCCTTCTCCTGCTCTGAGCCCAGCCGCGGTACATCATTGAGCTTGTACCCTCAACCTCGATAAGGTTGGGCTTATGGTTTTTATAAAGAAGTGTTATAATTTCATTCAAGAGGTACCTTTTTTAAACCAATATCATCTGATCCTTTATGCATTGGGCTAATTGATTCTGTTTGGTATATAAGACATGACTTATCCGCCTCTCTTAATATATCATTTACAACTGATATTCTATTATCTCAACACGCAGTGCCAATCGCTGTTTTGTACCCAAGTTATACGTCATTCCTACAACCAGGGGAATTTATGTGGTCGTCGTTATTAATTTAATATTAAATTGTAACACAATTGTTGTTATCATTTACTGGAACTAATTAGTTATTTACCTGTTTATCCTTCATTGTTAATTAAAAGCCTTTTATTAGTGTTCACATAAGCTACCAATTTTGTTTTGATTAAATCAAAACTGCATCATTATGTTTATAATAATTATTACAATTTCTTCAAATTCATTTGACTTCTAATTATTATTATTTCTGCAAATTGATGTAGAAGATATTTAATAGGCTTTGAAAAACTGATTCGAGAATAAAAAAATAGGAATTAAATACATACAAGGTCGTTTTCAATTTACTATCGCAAAACCAATAAAACACGACTTGACGACGAAACAACATTTTATGTAGCACCTTATAACTAAATCATAAACCACTATACGTCACTTGCAAGCCTGCACAAGTGCATACATAGCAAAACGAATAAAAACTGGGTCGTAGGAAATGTACAAGCGACATATAATCCATAATTACTTATAATCACGTCAACATGAATAGATAGACAGTGGCACGTAATGTGGGAAAAATACTTTGAATAGGAGGCCACACAGGAGTCATTTTTCTCACTTTGAATCGCTATCATTGTATCTATTGTCTTTACTTAGTTTTTGTAGTTATCTATTTATCTATTGTCAGTGAAATCACCTTTAATTTTAACTGTCATCACTTCACTAGTACGGACTTTATTTAGTTTTGACTCAAAATTATATTTAAATATTGTATCCCCGATGCATCAAAGCTCAATTTTGTCTTCTCCTATTTCAGCAATCTGAAAGATGGCGTAAACTCCGTAATATCGTGCAGTGGACGCCGTTCTTTCAAACATATAAGAAGCAGCGGTATCCTTGGATCCAGCTTGCTGGTCATCAAGGCAACTTCAAGGCTGGACCTGACCAAGGCACAATCCTGAAGAAACTGTGTCCGCAAGAAGAGAGGTGTTTTAAGGTAAAATATTCTTGATCACTATTTGTATGTATTAAACATCGTTACGGACGAGAATACAAGAAAATAATAGAAAATTAAGTCTAATGTATACAACATGAAAATTTTACTTTCCAATACTGAGGTTAGAGACCTGTGCTAAATGTTGTGATTTTTTTTGCCGTGTCTAGGTGTGTCGATAAGCACATTATCTAGATTGTTCTGATCATTTACTGTATTCTTTTTATCGTCCACACTTTAAATTCCATGTTTAACAGCCAACAAAAACTTTCGGAGGATATATTATACCTTATTATTGCCACGTACTGTTAAATCTCTTCTAATAAATCAGAGTCCGTATGACAAACTCATTTGTCAGTATGACATTCTTGAAGCACTGATTTAAGTGTGTCATTTACCCAAAACGTAGCTTCTTCTTCGAAACATTAGTCATTACCTACTACTAGAGTTACTATTCTCTTCGAGGCTTGAGACTTTAGAGCGTTAATTCATTCACGTTCTTCCTTAAAGTTTCAAGCATGTTCTTTAATTTTACTAATTACTTTCTGTTCCATACCTTTGATAAAAGATTTAATACTATTTCTGAACAAACCTACTACTACGACTACTGTTATTACTTGTTTTGAACTTTTTGCTCTCCATAGAATCCAAGTGATGCGTGAGACGTTTTTGCCCAAAGTTCTTTACTTATTCCGGTTATGTTACTCAAAATTCCAACACGCAATTTAAAACTTCAACTTAAAAGGTGATTCACAAAATTTTCTTCACAGCTTTACGTCAAATAGTATCACTAAACATGTGAATCAGCTGATTTTTTCTTTAACTTTTCGCGGTTAGACAAAGTCAATAACCGTCGACTAAAGTTGTTTGCCTTACAAACAATCGGAAACAAAAAACTAAGATCATTGTTGAAGTGATGTTAATTGGTTGCTCTTACTTACTAACTGATAACTATTATATTCAAAAGGAATAAATTTCAAGATGGGAATTATTTTTTAGACGCGGTATTAGAGATTCAAAATATTTATATAAAACAATTGCAATTTTGCTGAAATGATACTTAAATATCGGCTAAACATTAAATAACATTATTAAAATATTCAATGTTATTTAACAATCAAATGCAACGCAATATTAGTGAACTAATAACTACATTTATTTTGTGTCATCATACTACAGTAGGCAAAGTCTGAATAACTTAAATTAACCTTAGGTCTTTCAGAATAAAGCTTAGGTCACAAAATATCCAATTGAGGACATTTGTTGGATTATTAATTTGTTATTTTTTCCTTGACAAAACCGCAACATGGTATGTCTGTGTTATTAATTATTATAACTCAACTCTACCATAACACTCTTTAATAATATCAATAATTAGTTATTTAAGATCAGCAGCAGTTTTTTTTTTACATAAATATCAATATTGACTTCCATACTTGTTATTAAAACTAATAAATTAGACTTAATAGTTCCATCTAATATAGTAAGTATACCGAAAAGTATCAAAAAAAAAACAAAAGAAAAAGATTAAAACTAAACTTAAAATTATAAATATTGATAAGGCGAGATTGATAAAGAGTTAAAGGTTAGAGTTTATTTAAAAAAGTTCAAAATAAGTTAAAAATGCCACAACATTATTTCTTTTAATAGCAGCTCTAAAACTTGTTCAATTTCTGATTGCACTATTAAGTATAAAATATGTTATTATAAAATTAGGATTTTAATAATAAAAAGAGACAATTAAAAATGAAGCAAGAAAATAAGTTGACGTCATTTCAGATCCTTTACGTAAGCGATGACATTTTGGGTGAGAAAATGTCTAAGTTGAAAATATAAAACTAGATATACCTAATAATCCTACGTTTCAAGTTGCACTGCACGTAGACGATTCTATGATTCCGTAGGACGTTACGAAATAAGAATAACTTAATTTAAATAATGTTTTTCATGGAAATGTACATATTGATGTTGAATAAAAAATACAATGTATGGTGTAATGGCAAGTTGACGACGTCACGAAGAAAAATGGCGTATACAATGTTTGGAGGATAGACATTTGACGCATTATGGTTGTTCACAAATGATTGAATAAAACATTTGTGCCAATTTAATGTGCGAACGTTATATAAGTGAAGAAATATATAGGCATACGTCATCAGTACTTGAATTTTGATGCTTGTAATTCATTTCGATGACGATGTGATTAGGGATTGGGGATGCTTTCTTGTTTTATCTTACATGTGGATTCTTTCTTTGATTATCTACAAACTCTTATGTCTTTGCAGAAGATTAGATTCCGTGCTTAAAGATTGTTGACATGGCTTACATGTCTATTGACCCCTTAAAGTAAATCAAGCTTGAAGATTAGATAATGTTCTAAGAAGAAAACGATAGTAGACTCGTGCTTTCAATTATCTTCATCTGCTTCGGCAGCATTTTCATCAATTTACGCATTATTTACTAAATAACGAATAACAATTAAATTTGCTATTATTCTCATTACAGATTCTGATGAAAGACGTTCTTCGGCCGTTCGTACCTGAATACAAGGGACAAGTCACCTGCGAAGACGGAGAATGTATCCTTTTTACAATAAAAAAATACCTAAAAATAACTTTATTAAGTAACTTCGATTTATGAAGATGGACAAGAAATAGAAAGACACAAGTCTTTCTAATACCAATGGATGCGATGGTAATCAAAATAAAAAAGTGATTAAAAAGAGTATGTAACTTTACTTCATTTGAATGTATCTTTTTGAAAACAATATCTGTGCCTTTCGCGTAGGCTCTAATTATAATTCTAATTCTATAATACAAAAAAGCTATTTCCTTAACTAAGCATTCCCATACAGTGTATTTACAACTACAAGACTTGTTGAGCGATTTCGACAGTCCTTGCGTCATGGACTGCAAGATTGGAGTCAGGACGTATTTGGAGGAAGAGCTGGCCAAGGCTAAGGAGAAGACCAAATTGAGAAAAGTGAGTATCTTTACCATTTTCTTCTTTATCATACTCTGAAGTTTTTAGCAGATTAGATTCTTGAGTTCGCTTTTGAATCACAAGATTTTTTCTGATGAAATAGTGTTTTAGGACCATATCATGCTTGAATATAATTTTTCATCTATGGCAATATCAGATAGGTATTATTTGCTAGACTACTTTATGAAGAAACAACAACACTCAATACACATTCTCCAGGATAAGCGTCTAAATTTGCAATGTCAAACTATGATCCTGTACTTTGATATCGAGTGTTAAACTTTACACACGTATCGGTAGGCATACGTCAATACAATTTTATTGCACTTCATATTTGTGCACTCGATTAAGTTCCGGCTAACCAGTATACGCCCTTATGCCTTTAGTAATAAGGTCGACAAATATTCGATAGTAAACATTAACACTTTATTTTACTACATCACGTACTACTGTTAAGACGTGCGCTTTATACTTTAACATAGCACCGACGTCATAGTTACGTCGATTGTTATTGTAGTGTTTTTTATGCAATATTCGTTCAGTCACTTTTTTGTTTCAATCTTCAAGTTCAAGTTTGTATCGGCTGTTATGAGAGCCATTTTAAATCCGTTCCAATAAAAAGTAAAAGTAGATTGGGATTGTGTGATTTCAATGCCTTGCAAACAAATTTTAATGCAAGGTTTTTATTAAAGCACAAATACCTGTAAAAATACTCGAAGTGCGATGGGAAGAAATGGTTATACAAAAAACATTATATGATACTTTATGCAAAGAACAAATAGATGATAGAAAACATAGAACAGCTCCTTTATGCTAGCGACCTCCATAGCGTCGTTGTATAGAGTTCATTGCTTATCCGACAATGTCAGAGACTATGTGGACGCATTGATAAACTCGTCTTAATTACCACTCCCTACGTCAATGATACGAAACTAAACATATACAATCGTAATTATGTTGTAAGGAGACCAGTAATAAAAATAGTGTCTCAAGTCATAATAATCATTGAAAAGATATTTTTACTTGTTAGTTGTTATTGCATTATAAATAGCCAGCAATTAGAGGCTATGAATAGATTAAAAGTCAAGTTGAAGTTAGAATAGATGAATGTCAAAAGGTCAATAGGAACGTGATGAAGTAGCGTCTCGAAAATTAATAATAATTGTGTCTCGAGTTAAAACGCAAATACCTATTCCAATACTTTGCAGAACAATTTTTATTTGAGAATTTTAATGAAAGCTGTTAAATTTTATGATTCTAAACTTACTTCAAAAATATAACACTAAGAAATCAAAATGTTCTAAACATATTTATTGTCTCTTTCCAGGATATGTACGAAAAGATGATCCAGATAGACCCTAAAGCGCCAACGGAGGAAGAGCACAGGAGCAAAGGCGTTACGAAGCCAAGGTACATGATCTGGAGGGAGACCATCAGTTCTACTGCGACCCTCGGCTTCAGGATAGATGGTGTCAAGAAAGCTGATGGCACTAGCTCCAAAGACTTTAAGACTACTAAGACTAGAGAACAAATCGTTGAAGCTTTCAAAGACTTTACCAGTAACTTTCCTAATGCTGCGGTAAGTTCTATTGCTATTACTGTTTTACAATACCTGCTTAGCAGGATTAACTCTAAAAGTACTTTATTAAAATAAAACAAAAAAGACAATATTGTTATGTATCTGGATTATATCTATCTTTAAATTAATTCGTACCAAAATATTAGTCTAGAAATTCTCTAAACTTATCATTCTCATTCAACTCATTCTTCGATGATTTTTATAATTCATTTAAATAATTTGTAATTTATTTATCGTTACAGCCGAAATACTTAGAAAGACTGAGGAGCATCAGGGATACACTGAAAGAGTCATCGTTCTTCAGATCTCACGAGCTCATCGGCAGCTCCTTACTCTTCGTCCACGACAAAAGAAGGGCTTCTATCTGGATGATAGACTTCGCAAAGACTGTTCCCGTTCCAGATAATGTCAATATAGACCACGATTCTGTTTGGAAAGTTGGCAACCACGAAGACGGCTACCTCATTGGACTGAACAACCTTATTTCAATCTTCGAATCTCTCAGTAAGGACGACAATGGTAACATAGACCAGTGCTATTCTGACGTAAGCTTAGAAAAAAATGTTCGAAAGGACAGTTTTGATACCTGAAGTATCAAGGCTTGAGAGAAATCTCATGAGAATTGACTGTGCACCGTGATGTTGTACTGTTATGCATTTTCAGTAGTAATACTGAGCTGTACAGATTTGATGGCATGTTTATGCGACGCTGAACTTAGCGTGAATGAAGTGACGTACATACAGTGTGAAAATTTAATATTTCCCTGTAAAGCATGCGTGGATTGAAAAGTACTAAGTTGATCATCGCAAAAACATGTCAAATGAGACGATCTTTGTGATCGTACCCGTTCACGACTATGTACCTATACTTATTATATATTTCTTGTAAATAATCCATAGTATTATAAATATATTTGTAGCGTTAAGTTTTAAATACTCAATGCTAGCGTTAGATTTGGGCACCACCAATAGTGTTAATGTATTTGTTTCTGTATTGAGTTATTTGTAAAAAATTATGCTAAGGTTATTTCAAGTACCTAATGACTTATTTGAACCTGATTCCGATCAATAAAGAACAAATTTATTATTACTAATGTAAAAGAACTGAAATACAGAACTTTATGTATGATTCTCCATTTTTATCCTAAGTTTTATCATAGAACTTTCATGAAATCATAATAGTTGATTTATTAGCAGATATTTATTTTGTTTTAAGTACACTATATTAGTGTAATGACTAAATGGAAGTCAATATCGTAAGTTTAAAACAATCTAAAGGTACTAAATAAAAAATATTTCTCGTCAGTTTTGTTTATTTTTATTTCACATCCTGGCTTATGAAATCTTCATTTATTATAACATGGTTTTTGAACATTCTCTTTCATTATAGTGAAATTAAACATCTCAAGCAAACATAATTTACGTCCATTTTCTGAGGAATAAGCAGCAGTCTTATAATTCTAATCGATATACAGTATACAGTGCAGTATTTTACGACATCAATGCATATTGTTTGTAGATATCAAATAGATTGTATTAATCATACTACATCCAATAAAAATATAGACGATGCATTTTAAAATTGATTTTAGGAATCACAATAAAACGACTATCAACAATTGGACGGCTTATATTCATCACTTACTTAATCCTAACTTAAATTAAATAAATTACAATTTTAAATAATTACTCTCTAAATTTGCTAAAAGGCACTTTGTTACGTATTGTCTTTGTCTTTAAAGTTGTCTACAACTATATCAGTTAAACTACAACGTCTTGAGTCTGCTTCTTCTGCGTTAGCGCTTTCTCGTCGCATACGAGAGAAGAGTCTTGGCACAGGACCTGTACTCGATCGGCCCGCATCAGGAGGAGCGGGGGAATACCTCCTTGTTCGAGGTTTGATAACCTCTTCTCCACCTTCAGTCTCTGAATAAGGAGGTGGTGGCTGCTGCAGCATGGACATCCTAGTCTCCCGCGCAGCAGTAGCTGTTGGTATTTGTAACTCTGCCCCAGCGACCACAGTTGCTAGTGTAGGAGTAAACTGTGGAGCGGCAGCTCTTGCAGACACCCTTCTTCGTCGTGGGCCAGAATCATCCACACGCCTTGACTTATTGTCTTCAAGGCTATCCCTGCTAGGAGGCGTAGGTATTGAAAAATCTGGCCTAATTGACCCCCGTCTTCTAGATGCAACAGCGCTCGGCTCAGTTATGAAGTCAAGTAATCCAGGAGGATCGTTAGACGATCCGGCTGCAGTTTCCAAAACAGCTAAGGCTCTGAGGAGATCAGCCACACTCGTGTTCTCTAATACTTCAACTTGTTCGGCTTCAGGAAGACTAGTTATGTTTACATCAGGGTCAAACAGACTCGGGCGACCGTGCCTTGTTCTGTTCCTGTAACGCTCTAAATCACTTGTTGTCTGTGCCGGTTCTTCTAGGGACCTATTACGGTTAAATCGCTTTTGGTTATTAAATTGCCTGATAGTGGATTCTAAATCTCCTGCACATGTTTGTGGTGAACTATTTTTACGAGTTCCACCAAATGATGGGAACAAGCTTCCACGGCCAGAACGAGTTTTGTTTTTGTAATCGACTAATTCGTCTGAACTTTCCGGCATGACGTCGTCATCATTTTTCTTAGAGCGCCCAAATGAAGGGAATAAGCTAAGGCGTCCTTTTTTCGTACGATTTTGGTATTTTTGCACTTCGTCTTCATCTACAGTGTCTTCATCATTACTAGTAGGACTATTAAAATTGAAACTGGGGAATATACTTCGCCTACCGCGTTTAGTTTTTTCTCTATAGCGTTCTGCATCGTCCTCAGGATCACTGAAGTCAAACGTAGGGAATATGCTCCGACGACCGGACTTCGTTCTGTCTTTGTATGCTTTAGCATCTTCATCTTCACTGAAATCGAACGTAGGAAAAATACTGTGTCTTTTAGACTTTTGCTGATAAGCTCTAACAGCTGCTGCATCCTCATCTTCAGAAAAATCGAATGTCGGAAAAATGCTATGTCTTCCACGACTAGTTTTTTCAAGGTAAGCATTAGCTAGATAATCTTCTTCTTCATTATTAAAATCAAACGTTGGAAAGATGCTGTGTCTACCTCTTTTTGTTTTTTCTTTATAAGCATCTGCGTCATTTCTTTCTTCAGATCCAAAGAAAGAGGGAAATAAGCTTCCGCGTCTGGACTTAGATGTGTTAGAGGTATCTTTGATATTTTCGTTAATTGCTTGAGGAGTTAAGTTTTCATTAGAACTTGTTTTACGCGAGAAAAATCGTGTTATAATATTTTGAGATGGAGCTGCATCCTCAGGATAGACTTTAGAAGGCAGTGACAATTTTCCACTTCTTATATTAGCTTCTCTCCTGAATTTTTCTGCCGATTCACCGTTAGTCCAAGTATGCTCGTGAACTTCTTGGGGAATATATTCCTTTTTGTAATTAGGCACAGCTACACTTAATGCTCTTGTTCGTTTTGGATTGTTTGGTATATAATCTTGACCTATGCTAAACTTAGGAGGCCTTTCATTTGCCAAGATATGTTCATCGTCAAATAGATGGACACCTTTATCATTGCGATCTTTCTGGGCCTGTTCTAATCCACCCAATACATTTACTACACGAGCCAGAAGTTCAGCAGGTTTGACAATAGCGGAGGCAGTAAAAGTTTTCTCTTTATCAATACCAAGTAAATCGGTATCAGATTGAATTCGGAGCATGTCTTTCGCAGAAAGTTGAATATTTTCGGAATTCGCTCGTTTTCTTTTGTAGATTGGCCCTCTCGGTTCGACGTCATATGTGAAAATGGGACAGCTTGCGCTCCGGTACATCGGAGGATGTGCTTCTACATAAACTGGCTGAAACAATAAAAAAAATGTTAGTTTTGTCAGAGTCCAAAAAAGTCCGAATTACATAGAATTTGTGTAGTTTCGTCATGAATTTAAATAAAATATTCATTAATTTTTCTTTACGACTGGTTTATTGAATTTAGAATATTTAATGGAAAAGGTTTAAACATACCTTTATCTTAATCAAGTTAGCTTCATTAATAATTTTTCGAAGTGCCGACAAATCCTTTGTGAAGCCTTGTAGGATCCTGTTTTGTGTGTTCTTGAATTGGCAAGCAAACTTTTGTTCTATTCTATGGATCCGTTCAGATCTCATGCCACTTGTGATAAACCCGAGAAGCATGACAATATATCCGAGACCGAATGTGATCCAGATTATTAGAAATATTTGGTAGGTGCAGAAGTATCCGTACTTGAAGCCGTTGTTTACCGTACCTGAAATGTAGAGATACAAATATAATTTATTTAGCAAAAACCTAATAGTTAGTAGTTAGCACTACTTAACTCGACAGATGTAAATAGGTAAAACAATATCAACAAAATACGAGTAATAAATCTTACCGGCAACTAAATCACCAAAACCAATTGTAGTTAAGGTGACGAAGGCATAGTAGATGGAAGCCACGTAGTCCCATCCTTCGAAGACCATAAAGATGCAGGCAGGCAAGAAAATGAAGAACAGGAAACCAGGCACCAGGTACAGGAAGATTTGGCCCAACATGCCCAAGTTGGTGAAGTAGTAACCCAAGTTGTGAGCCCTTTTCTCATTTCGTCGTTTGTATTTTCGATACACTGATATGAGCTGGAAGAAATAAATGATATTGTTTTATTTATGAGAAAGTCATAGCAATGTGTAGTAGTGAGTAGTTCCTCCTAATTTTATTACACTGTATATCTGCTTCAACATGAAATTAAAAATAATAGTAGATACTTCTTAACTTTGTAAATAAAACCTTACTTTATCTACACTTGTTTCTAGACATAAAGTTTTGTGCACTTTTGAAGGGAGACAGGAGAAAAATGATTGTAAAATTTATTTCCTGAGTTAGTTGGAGAGAAAGAGAATACAAGTCGAATCATAATTAAAGTATGAAAACAAACCTAATATACGTAATTTGTGATAAAAAGACTTTTACTACTTTATAAATAAAAATAGCGTCTTCGAGACAATTTGTGGCTTAACTTTATGGATCTCTTATCTTATGTTGATGTCTAGTTAAACACATGACTGATTCGTTGCTATTTGAGTACACAGGTGCATGTGTGGTAACAGTTACAAAAATTGTTGATGTATCTGTTACGTTACTCTTAACATCGTACTCAAAGTCATTTAGTGGTTACTTAAAGAATTCTAGCCAATTAATTATTTACGGAACCTAACCTTTATTAAGAAATAGTTTAAGTGATCTTTAACCGTCTCTAAGTACGCCAGTAACAACCGGTTTCTGAAAGGCTTGTCAACGCTAAAATTAACTAATCTCCTGTTAAATCTCTTGTCAAGTCATCTGATTGGTTGTTGATAATTCAGTCAACCAATCAGACTTCACACCAACCAGACCAGTCAACCAATCAGACAGATAATTCAGTCAAACAATCGACTTGACAAGAGATTAAATTGAATTTAACATTGTTTGGCCTTTCGGAAACCGGGTGTTAGTGTCGCATATAAGATGTCAAGTATGATTTCGTTCTTTTTGGTAAGTATGAAACAATTTATGACGGCTTCGGCTTGCAGCAGAAGAACAAACGGGGTGAAATTTTAGACTATAAGTGCCTAACAGTTGCCTCCCACCCCATTCAGGTAGAGAGAAGTCATTTCTCTCTCAAAAAACGGCAGGTAAGTATGCGAATTTAGTTTTTTATAGTTATATATTATGATATCATCGTATGTGTCTCAACTTGAATTTTTTATCATACCCTTGGATAGAAATAACGGGAAAATAAATTCTATAGTACTTTATAGTTTTCTCCTTGTAACAAAAAAAAACAGCACAAAAATGATAATTACCTGCATGCCAAAGTATTCACCCAGATTGGCAAGTAGAATACCGTTGATAGGGATGCCAAACAGACCATAGAATATCATTAGTATTCTTCCCAAATGCGTAGTCGGCGCCAAATTACCATAACCTGAAAAATGTATAAGAAATTACTAAGACACAAAACTAAAAGTAAATAATAAGTTATGAGGGAGTGTATTTTGTTTTGTAACTACTGTAAGGCCGAAGTCAATAAATATTTCACTAATTTTATAATACTTAAATTTTCTGCAGTGTCTACTTTGACATTGTTGAACAACTGTTTATTACAATACATAATATTTTGTTATGGTGTCTCTTAGTAATTTCCACAGATGAATAGAACTGACAACAAAGATTAGCAATAAAATCTAACACAAAGTAACTAATTAGACATAATATATAGTGTTATGGTAAATAAGAATGGTTCAGTCAGAGAATCAGAAATTATGCAAAGGTGAATAAGATATTAACACAAATGAAATTTATAAATGCATATTATCCTAATATGATTATATCAATAAAATAATCGAATACCTTTTTGTTAAAATAGCAGGAAGTATAAAGTTAGAGATTAGTAAGTTCTATTATTATTATAAACGCATAAACAACACAAAACGATTGGAGACGGATAGGATATTTCTTTTTGATTTGAGATCAAGCAACAAAGATGTTTTTTTTATTTGTGTTTAGTACAAATAGAACATTGAACAAATATGCGGATAAATTAGTCGCTAAATCCATATTTAACCTGAAGATGTCGTAAAGACTATTGGACCTGGCAACAGCACTTACTGATAGTCCTGTATGAACCTTTAAAAGGGCGTTGGCAGGTCTGTTATGCTTGCAGATAAAAATAACGTTCTCTAATGTAGTGAAACGTCATGGTGTAGGAGTGGACATTCACGGGCTGATCATTTCACGAAAATTATGTATAATTATAGTAGTAACAGATGATAACGATAAACTTACCGATGGTACTGACGACAGTGTAAGAGAAGAAGAAAGAGTGGTAGAAGTCCCATTTGAAAGGAGGTTCAGCATCTTCGGTTGTGTAGTTGAACATCGATTTCCCGCAGTAGTCGGATAGCTTCCGAAGAATGGTGTCCTGTTTATCTGGATCATCAGGTAAGTAGTTCTCGTATAGTAGATCTGGAATTTGAAATCGTTTCATGTTATTTCGTTGAAGAAGTTTAGGTAGAAGATTAGAGAGATCTTGGAGATATCATGAATCAATTAACTATACATAAATATATATTTACTGCAATTTCCATTTTTTAAGTTTTGTAAGGGATGATTTCATAAAATTTTTGATTGTGAAGTTTTAAAGATTTAAGCATATCTACACAGAAACAGAAAAAGCGACTTTGTTATAATTATACTATGTAGTGATATTTCAGGCCATGGAATTTAAAGTTTATTTCAAAACCAAGATGAGATACAAATACAAACAGTCGTGATTGTTAACTTTAATTTCTCGCTATAAATAACAAACGAGGTTGTTAAAAAGAAACAAAATACGTATATTGTTATGGCAATCGTGATATTCTTGTTAACCCAATAATTTTAAACAATGTCAGACTGTAACTGAGCCATTTAACATTCATCTCCTAACCAAATAACCACGGCAGTAAGAAATATAGGGCTCTAATTAACCTGTTAACGGACTTTTTACTAATGACAATTTTACGCGCGAGTCAACACAAATTACTTGTTTTTACTCCAAATTGTATGGGATTACTCGATTGATTAGAATTGGTAAAAAGTTTAAGATCACTGTCCGATGGTGAACAAAAAGAGGTACAATTGTTTGTTGTATGAATGAGAGAAAATGTATTGTGAGTTACCTCACCATGAAATTGTGCAATAAGAAATATTTGGTCATGGGTAAGAGATCGATGAATGTTTTCCTTCATTTATAATACGATTTACGATTCGAAGTTTTTTCTGTTTTAAACGGCTATGAGATAGGCAATTGCTATAGTCTGGTGACGTTCTTAAGGTTTGTTATCTAAACTATATTTTACCTCTACGGCATTAAATGGAGTCTATTATCACATTATTACGGTCTGAAATCGATATAACAAGTTGCACATGGGTCGTACCCCTCTACTAAATAGTATGACCTCTGACAATCTCTATACCAGATTACCAGTTCATACATCACAAGTACTTGTAAAGAACCTGATTTATCCAAAACCCACTGCAATTTACGGAAACCATTTGTGGTTTAGCACAGTAGCGTCTATTCTGCCAGCTTGTAATGGCATTCAAAGGAAGGCGCGGTCCATATTATTGTATTATCGTCATTTAATGAATATAAAACCGATTTACGACAGAGGGACTCAATTGAATGGTACTATTGTGGTTTCGAAGGTCGATGTCACTGCCAAGTCCAATGCAAAGGACGTTAAATAGATTTTTAATATGCATACGGATGACTGTTAGATGAAATTAGTTGGAATATTATATGTAGATGGAATAAGAAGTAGTGTAGTTAATTTGTAAGCAGATCGAAAGAAATAAACTGCTCATTGTGACATAATACATGTTGCAAATAGAATTGTTTGTTTGAAAAATGTATTCGTTATAAAATGTGTTTTACTAAAGGATTTACAAACCTTTGTTATAGAATCTATTAATATCACCGTATATTGGTATCAATAGGAATGATAAATAGCTTTTCAAAATTTAAAATTACAAATTACTAATAAAATGAAGTTCGTTTAATCGTGACTAATTATTTATGTAAACTTTTTGTTACAAACAAGTTTATTCGCTAAACGTTAACATTTCATATCAAACGTCATATTTCTCGCACGTCAGTACCTATATAAAAGACTCCACTGTTTTGTCAAGAACACTTTGCAATGATAAAATGATTGTCGAAAGAGATACAGTAGCTGAATGGCTGATTAAATGTTTAAATTCGATTGTCTCTTGAAGTCAAGAGGTCTTCATTGAACATGTAGTAAATAAACAAGAGGCAATGGCGTCAATAGCTAGGGTT